TAAGAATCTTTTCATTATAAATTTGTAAACCCTGTAATAATTATTTATCATTATTCATTTCGTTATTTTTTTAGGAAATAAAGAGTTTTCTGCATTATCGATTTTGATTAGTGGATTATACCTTGTCTATCTGTTCATCGTCAGAATCTTGTTCCTTTGCGACAACAACACTAGAGAGAATAAAAATAGACTTTAGAGAAGTAGAATAGACTAGAGAGAAGTAGAATAGACTAGAGAGAAGTAGAATAGGCTATAGAGAGAATTATATTAGACTAAAAAGAAGTACAATGGATTAGGGAGAAGTAGAATAAATTGGAGAAAAGTAGAATAGGCTAGAGATATGTAGAAAACTAGAGAGATTCGGTAGAATAGACTAGAAAGAAGTAGAATGGATTAGAAAGAAGTAGTTTAGATTAAAGAGAAGTAGAATAGACTAGTGAGAAGAATAATAGACTAAAGAGAAGTAGTCGTAGCATAGACCAGAGAGACGAAGTAGAATAGACTAGAGAGAAGTATAATAGACTAGAGAGAAGTAGAAAAAGACATAAGAGAAGTAGAATGGATACAGAGAATTAGAAAAGACTAGAGAGAATTAGAATAGACTAGAAAAAAGTAGAATAGACTAGAGAGAAGTAGAATAGACTAGAGGGAAGTAGAATAGACTAGATATAAGTAGTAGAATAGATTAGAGAGAAGTAGAATGGATTAGAGAGAAGTAGAATTATAGATTAAAGAAAAGTATAGAATAGGCTAGAGATATGTAGAAGACTAGAGAGATTCGGTAGAATAGACTCCAGAGAAGAAGAATAGACTACATAGAAGTAGAATAGACTAGTGAGAATTGAATAATAAACTAGAGAGAAGTAGTTTTAGTATAGACCAGAGAGAAGAAGTATGAATAGACAAAAGTGAAGTATATAGAAGACTAGAGAGAAGTAGAATATAGACAATCTTTATCGAGATTAAGTATAGAGTAGACTAGAGATAAGTATAATTTAGACTAGTCGAGAAGTATAATAGACTGTAGAGAGAATTAGAGCTAATAGACTAGAGAGAAGTACAAACTGGGAGAATGTAAATGGAATTGAGACTGAGAGTGGAAGTAGAATAGATGGCATATTGTAGACTGTAGAATAGAGACTATAGACTATAGAAGATAAAGTAGAAAAAGTATTTAAATAAAAATTCGTAATATATTAAATAAAATAAATAAGAAAATCTCTGATGCTACACTAACCAACCTATAGATAAAGGTTCTTGATAATTAATGGCAAGATTTTAAATTTACATGAACTATTTAAATCAAATTTTTTATTTATTAAAGTTTTGGGGCGAAAAATGCTTAGGTCGGAATAACTGTAGGTTTTGTTGTAGTTCAGATGATTATGCATTTTATGAATCGGTGCAGAGTCATATACTGCCGGACAAGACTTTAGACAAAAAGAAACTTACCATCAGTCCTACGTTCTTAGATTTACACATACTTTGTAAAATGTGCTATTATTATTTACAAGTAAACTCGCAATTTTTAAGCTACAGGGTGTCCCACGAAACATGACATTTAACAAATCGTTACTTTTAGTTAGAACATCCTTTTGCTTCATTATCTTTTACTTTGAAATCAATTTTAATATAAGGACTCCCATATAATACTTTTATTCATCTTTGTATCAAACAACCTAACAAATTATGGAAAAAGACATTCTAAACTATTCACCAACTGTCATGTTTCGTGAGACACCCTATAGTTTTTTATTTTGTCGTAAAATATTTGTCTTCTGTATTTAAGTTTTAAAACTTCGTAGTTCGGATGATAAGTTACTGAAAAACTTTGCACAATGCCGCGAAGAAAAAAATTTCTACATGTCTCTGAAATAGAACGGATATAGAATTATCAGATAGATAGATAGCACATTGCGCAGCACATTTTATTTTCACAATGCATTGCAATACAATTCTTTCTTCTATCTATAAACTACATATACACCTTTTTTAACACCAGTCTAGGATAGAAGAGTTTGTCTTATACTTTTAATTATTTGTTATTTTTCGTTCGACGTTCATTGCAATAATTGATATATACTGTTGTTGGATTTCTGTCGTGTGAGGTGAGGTGATGGTGTTTTAATTTATTATCGGGAGTTACTGAAAGTGGTTATGGGGAGCGGTAGAAAGTAGATCAGGGTTTAAGTTATCGTACGTTAATTGCAAATTTATCGAATATTGGACTATCTCTAATTGTCTTGATTCAACGCATCCCCACCCTCTTCAGTGCTAATGCTTAATAAGTACTAATTTGGTCCTGTTCAAAATTGTTAGAAGGGGGGGAAACAAAATTAGTATATATCCAGACTTAGGTTAAGACATTTTCTGGACCGAAAGCCGTATCTAGGGGGCCGGTAGCTGCGGCCATATGAGTATGAATGTATAAAATTAATGAGGGAAACGTTTAACCCAATTGTCATGTAGTTTCTATTTCAGATAGAAGAACCTTTAAGATGAGTTCGTTGAAGCTCCAGAAACGGTTGGCCGCCGGGGTCATGAAATGTGGCAAGAACAAGGTGAGTGCCGGGGATTAAATTGGTATGTCTCTGAGTTTAAATGCATTTAATACCGAGAAAAGGATCAGGATGACCGCTTATTTAGCTTTAAACAAAATAAGTTTTACCCCCATCTCATTTTATTTGGTACACTTCAAGCACTTTTCTATATTTCTCCTTCTCATTTGTCATCTTAGATAATATTTCTACTGATATTATATTTGTATCGCTAAGGACTTAAAATATTCAATTTAAAACAATGTTCATTTAAACTTATTAACCCTATCCCTGCTGGGGTACTTGAAAACCAGGATATAACAAATTTTTTCTTGAGGATAAAATTTTAATTCTTAATTATCAAACATTAATTACCGCCTGATATGCGTTAAATTTTTGTCTTCATTTTCCTTTCTTAAATTGTAAAATCTACAATCCAATTGTTGTTTTCCCTAGTGCTTAGGATCCGCAAAATTTTGGCTTCCTGGATCCGGATCCGCAAAAATATGCGGTAATCCGGATCCAAGAGGTAAAATATCGACCAAAAACCACAAAGAAACTTTAACTAAAACCTAGCGTTTTTTGGACACTACCACTCGGCCCAGAAAGTATCTTAACTTAACCTAACCCTAAATTTAAGAAAGTGTCACAATTTAACCTAACCCGTGGCCCTAGCGCTCGGCCCCCTAACCTGTCCTAGCCGCAGCGCTCGGCCCAGAAAGTGTCCTAACCTAACCCTAAATAAAAGAAAGTGTCACAACTTAACCTTACCCGTGGCCGCAGCGCTCGGCCCCCTGGCCTTTTCTAGTCGCAGCGTTCGGCCCTGAAAGTGTCTTAACTTAACCTAACCTAACCCTAAAAATGAATAAATAATAAATTTGCTGATGTGGTCATGTACAAAAGGATCCGGATCCATTTTTTTCAATGCGGATCCAGGATCCGGATCTGTATCAAATTTAAATGGATCCTGAGCACTGGTTTCCTCGATATCCGCCAATAAGTTTGATCTTTACATCTACTGAATTATATCCCAAGGTCTGGTTGGATCCTAATGAGATCAGTGAGATCGCTAATGCCAACTCCAGGCAGAACATCAGGAAGCTGATCAAGGATGGTCTGGTCATCAAGAAGCCCGTAGCCGTCCACTCCAGGTGAGGGTTTATGCTTAGGAAGGGTAGTCACTGGTCTGGTTAAAAATTATATAATCACCTGGGTCCTTCCTAGTATACGATTATTTTATCTCCGCCGTATGCCGTTCACGTCAAGTTGGCTGTTGGTACAGTTGAACACATTGCAATCGGCTTAGAGTAAATACTTTCAATATCCTACGTTTTATACATTCAATTATAAACCGTCTGGAAACGATTGTAACATCTTTCAATCAGAAATTCTAACATCAGACTGACGCCGCCCCCCCCCCCCCCCAAAAAAAAATGAACTATTTAGCCAAAATTTGTCTTGTTAGAAATTTGTCTTGTTAGCGTGACTAAGGTTTCTTCGAATATGCGATCAACTATTGGGAAATTTTTCGGCAACGCAAAGAGAACCAAAACTCCGGTTTCAGTGTATTAGATGTTTTAAAGCAAATGGGGTAGATACTTTAATTATCTTACGTTTTATACAATCTATTGTATACAATTTGGAAATAACTTATTTAATTCATCCATTAGTAATAATTTCCCAATGTCAGTCTTAAATCTTATATTTGTTAATCGTAAATCTTATTTCGTGGATTTTTCATATTTGCAGTTATATATACGAGAATTGTCAACATTTTCATTCTCTTTAATTTGCCTTCCCTGAGCCGGCGATTTAAAAAATTCAAGAAAATACGACTCAGGTCTAAGCTGTTGTTGAGCCTTACTTACGGCTCGGGCTTTTAGATTTAAGTTGCATCTTATTTTCAATAGTTTAGTTCATAAAACCGGTTTAATGTTGTATTTGGCGGATTTTCATGGTTGGAATTGGCGCATTCCGGGCTTTGATGAGAATAAGACCCAACATTGAGCCTTATTCTCCACTAAAACCAACCAAGGTCGGTTTTATTTTCATTGGGCCTAACTCTTTAAGTCGAGCCTAAGATCTCGCAGCTGTCAATCACGTGACACAAGCTGTCGTCAGAGTTGGGTCGAAGATTGGGTCTTAAAGTCGGGTTTAAGGAATTACGGCTCGAGCCGAAGCTTTTAAATCGCGGGCCATTAGGTCATGAGTTGCCACATAAAATAAATGGGCCTGAGCTGGGAACAGAATGGTGGATATCGAGATTAATGCTTGATCCTCTCTTTTTAAATCTCTACAGACTAATCTAATCTTGTACTTGTATCCTGAAAAGTGTATAACATTCAACCAATCGAAGAGTCGCGTCTCAGAAGCTAGTAAATTTTAAATTTTGCGCGCCATTTATGAGTAGTATACAGAAACAGAAAGGACTCTTAATTTTAAAAAACGGTTTTTGATTTTTCTGTTCTATATCCAAAAAAATGGATTAAGCATGAAATCAAAAGTGTCCACATTGGATATACGGATTAAGCAGTCGGGATTAATGGTATCCCATTTTAAAGTTCCCAACTCTGATCAGTTTCAGCTGTTTGACGATTATATACGTAACCAATATAGTTTAATACAGGGTGTCCTACATCAAATTAGACCGCGTTCATGAGCAATATTACAATTTGGGGGACAAATCAGAAAATTTAAGAAGGATGAAACATTTTGAAAAATTTAATAAGGCTAATAGAAAATTTGTTTGCAGAAAATGCTAGATTTTTGGAGTATTATTAGCGTATTTTAGCGTTAAAGATTGGAGATAGTCTAATGTTATGGGACGCTCTGTATATACCGATTTATATATATATTTACAAATGAACTCGTTTTTTCTTATTTATCAAAAAAATAAAAAGGCTTATGTACGGACTCTTCAATCTTTAGTTGAAGCTTAACTAACGAATGATTTTTTTAAAATTTAATCTGTAATATCTGAATGCTTAGGTCCCGTGTTCGTAAGAACGACGAGGCACGTCGTAAAGGACGTCACACTGGAATGGGTAAAAGGAAAGGTACCAAGGACGCCAGGACCTCGCAGAAAGGTCTCTGGATTAAGAGAATGAGAGTTCTGAGAAGACTTCTCAAGAGATATAGGTAATAATCATATATATTGTTCTCCGGGGTATACATTCACTTTGATAGCTCCCCTCCCAGGGGTTATTATTTTGACGAGGTTGGGTGACGAAAAAATGTGAAACGAAAGCGCAAGGAAACCCTGAATTACTCGTGCATAATTTTAGTATTTATTTCCTGATTTTTAAAGTTTAGTCCCAAGTAGAGAACCATTTNCCCCCTTAAAAAAAATGTTGGCGGCTTATGTTTCTTCAAGTTAATTTTGCACCGATTTACCTTTTTCTATCTAACTTCTATTTGACTCAACATTCCGGTGGATGCAAGGTGATTAGCTGTAAATAGTTAAAAACGTCTTCCATGACTAATAAAAATATTAAAATAAATCTTGTTTCTAGGGAAGCTAAGAAGATCGATAGACATCTGTACCATGAGCTCTATCTCAAGGCAAAGGGTAACGTGTTCAAGGTAGGAAACCCGGTGCCAGAGGTCGGGGATACAGAACAAGGTTGTTTAGGGAACACGCTAAAAATGGAAAAAATCAATCCATCAATTAAGTGGTTATATCAAGTTTTAAATGGCAACCCTTATGCCGCGTTCTGTTTCCTGGGAAACTGGAAGTTGACCTTGTGTTGACCGATCCTAAATCCGCAGCTAACCCCTGCCTAGACCTACCCCGGCCCCCTGTCTGGGGCCTGGAGTGCACCTTCTTAATTAACAAGAACTCAACGAATTATGATTTCTACTCTTGGATCAGATAATTGTTTGGTTTTAGAACAAGCGTGTCCTCATGGAGTTCATCCACAAGAAGAAGGCTGAGAAGAACAGGTCCAAGATGCTACAAGACCAGGTAAGATCATCGTGTAAATTTTTAAATCCCACTTTTTTCAAAATCTAAAAGATTAAGATCTTGACATAGTTAGGACGAAAGAAGTTTTTAAAAAATTGAAATTGTTCGATGAAAATTGAAGAATGAACAAAGCATATCGATTTAATTTTGGAAATTAAAAATTATAGCGCCTGCAAGTTTTTAAAAAACTAATTAGTGCTCTGTCAAGTTCAATATTGGATAAAGTCTCATTAAATGTTACTGGATCACTAAAAATCAGGGAGGGCCGAGGGGTGAATGAGCCTTCAATGAAATGAAGGGTTAAATGGTTTTGAACCCCTGAACTTGTAGTGACTCGGCGTATCGTTCTCTATTTGCTTATGTGGCTGATCATTCCGCCTTATCTTTCAGTCTTTTATTTGTTTTCGTTGAATTAGTAGAATGTTGATTGTTAAGCTGAAAAAATGTATTTTCTAAGCTTTTCCTCTCTCTTTCTTACCATTTCTTTCACCTCGGTTTTAGTTTACAATACTAAGGTAGACATTACATCTAAATACACAGCCCGCTGGGCTAGCGTACATTGTTGGTGTGCTTTACAGTTGTTGGGAACCTAGATTTTGTTAAGAAATTTTAAACCTCTTCATGCCGTATTTAAAGAGACAGACCGGCTTTGTAAGGTAGTTAAACGAGTATGCAGTGTCGTGGACAAATTCTTTTGGATTCATTTGAGACTTTTCTACGATGTATAATTAATGAGTTCATAGTCGACGTTCAAAATTGTGAATTTGGGTGAGAACGTTTTCACAATCTGGTTTTTTTTTAATTATAAAAGAACGACGACGAAAAATGAAGTAAAAATTATACATTGAACTATTAGATGGTTAGGAACATATTTCTCAAAAAAAAATAGTCGATAAATTAATTCTAGAGAGAGAGAAATTCCGTTTTTGTATAATGAATTCATTATTTTTTTATGAATTTATTCGCAGGGTTCAATGTCAAACGTACTGCACGACCAAACCATGTCTAAGATATGTCCGTTCTATTATATATTTCTTTGCACCAATAGAATAAAGTCGAGTAAAATTATGTTNGATAAAACTTAAATGGACTCTTACTGAAAGAGAGTAAATTCATTTCACCAGCTAAATATATGGTCGCAAATTAAGAGGCAATAAATTTTAAAATTACTTATAAAAATAAACTTTTAATTGATGAATTATCAGAACTGATCATTTTTGAGGCGATTTTCTTTTATATATGGGTTTAAATATACAAGATGCATTTCGGAACACCTAAATACCGTTCAAATAAGAAAAATATTGCTTTCATTCTTGTTTAAGATACTCTTTAAAAAATCGGAGTTTGTTTTTTCAGATTTACTGACCCAATTTTGACATTTTGTTTCTCGCTTGATATTATTTTTTTAATTTTGACAATGTGTTCAAATAAATGTCACGAAAAAGTTGTTTTATTGTTTGAATTTTAATGCTGATCAAACCTATTTCAGTTTTTAGGATCCAAATCATTTTGCTAAGTCATTTCAATTGGACAGAAACGTTTAGGAAATGCAATTTTTTGCATTTAACTTAGATTTATGCCAAAGCTTGAGTTATGAAAGATTGGTTTTTATGTGTGCAGAAATCATGATCCGTTTCTCAATAGTTCAGATTTATAATCAGAAGTTTCAAGTCCCTTTCTCAGTTTCTCTGTATCCATTGAATAATTTCAAACGATATTTATTGAATTTTATATCATTTTTTACGTTTAGGCCGAGGCTCGCCGTACCAAGGTCAAGGAGGCCAGGAAGAGGCGTGAGGAGAGGCAGGACACCAAGAAGAAGGAGATGCTCCAGGTAAAATCAGACAACGGGGTGTATGTTTCCAAAATAATTGTGTTCCCTTTAATATAAATAAATATAATATATAAATGAAAGATTTAAGGTTTTACGCTGAATTGAGAAAATGATGTTTTTTTGCATTAACTATCTGAAAGTGATGTCTCATTTCCCCTAAATCATCTATTGTTTTGTTTTAGGGGGGGGGGGGTAATTCTGAGAAATGTTAACTATGGGAATTACAAGGCTACCCACATAGGATGAGATTGTAAAGACTTGGGTTTAAATTAATCTTAAAATGGCTTTCTATTAAAAATTACTTTACAAAGAAAGCTACAAGTTCACAGTTGAAGGGTATCCTACAGATAGTGTTAATTTCGTACAGTCGTCTCTGTAGTCCCATCCTTTGAGATCAACCCTTACAAGTGTAAAATAAGTCTTAAACTAATTGGTAGTTTAAAGGCCGGTTAAAGAGTCTGGTATCTTAAGACTGGTATAAGGCGGGTATTAGCTAATACCGCTCTTATACGTCATAACACTAATACCAGTAGTTAAGAAATACTGATACATAAAGCGCAGATGCTGTCTAATTTGTGGCAGGATTATCTAGCCTAGAACTGCTGATGCGTTCAAAAGTCATCCTAGCTTAAACCAGGATTATCATCCAATCTTTACCGTTTTGACTCATCTGCGCAATTCTTTTTTTATGTTATTTAAGATAGATTAAAAATTCATGGAAATATCCTGTAAGCTAAACTTGCATTTCATTTTCAAAGTTTTTTTTATAAAGTTTCTCATCAAATTTTTTCTTTTACATTCAAAATCTTTATTAATTCAGTTATTTAAGAAGGCCAGGGGGTCATTTTTCTGAATTAAGCAAAATATGAAGTATTTCTTCATTTTTAAAGGATCTTTGAATTTGAAACATCCCTGTATTTAATAGTTGCGAGATTATCGAGACCAAACCAAATTATGCTGGTATTAAGGGTAGATGATCTTACCCAAATCTACCCTGTGGGTGGATTTGCTAACACCGCTCTTAGTTAAACTAGCATTTCTGTTAATACCGGTATTAGCACAACTTATGAACGCATAGGGTAGATGATCCTACCAACCAGGATTAGTTAAGAGCGCTATTAATGGTTTCTGGAACGGTCATAAGTGATCATTTTTTAACCGATTTCTCGAGTTTCATGATCTTTTAGAAGTATTAGAAACCAGAATTTTAACCAAAAAAAATATATAAAATAATCTGTCTTTTTCTAATAAAATATTTGTTTGTTTAGACCTTCCTGAAGGAGGAGGAGACCCTTGCTGCTAAGAAGTAAGGAATCGTCCAGCTGGTGCAAGTCATGGTTGTTGCCAACCATTAGATCATGTTCAATAACATCTCGTTCATGTTCATTACTTGGAGAATAAAAATTATATCAAACTTAACTCTTTATATCTGCAGTTAATAACTCGGAATTGGTAAACAGTCATTTTAATTTATTACTCGGCCAGTTGCGAAAGAAAAATGACTAGATTATATTTAGTGTTTATTTTCGATGATATCAAGATCGAGAAATATGTCTTGATATCAGACACCTAATTTTATTTTTAATTTAAATAAAGAACTACTGCAAGGATTATTATGTCCGACAGAAACTACTGAAGATAAGTGAGTAAAACCACTCAAACTGCTTAAAATGAACCATCTGGATTATTGTCGAAAAAACTAACTTCCTATCTTCGGAATGTAAAATGTAATTGTAGAATTTAAGTGCATTTTTGAGTCTGAAGTCTATCATAACTAGGTTTAAAGATTAATTTTTGTATTTTTTGTTTGCAGGGTTCCCAAATTTTGTGAATTTATAATCGTAAGACGCGTTCTAGCAAAAAAAAAATCAAAGTAAGAGTGAATTGTATTATTGCCCAATTACTGCCTAAAAAAGACTTAATGAAGTAAAATCGGTAGAAATTATATCAAAAGAAACTTGTTGCATTTCGACAGTCAGGCAGTAGACTTCAGGTTGGATTTTGCTACAAAAAATTTTATGACTTTGGAGACCATGTCATGTACTATAAAAAAAATATATTCGTCAAAAATCCAGAAGAAGCTTTAAGTCTTGAAACGAAATTTTATTTTAATTTAAGACCTGTAAATGCACTTTATTTTACGATTTCTTAAATTGATTTGCTAATTGTGCAAAATTCCCTAGGTGGCATTTTCTGAAAATTGAGAATAAAACTCGGTAGCCTGCACAGAAGATAAAGACTATTTTCAGCAGTGGGCACTGTTAAGATGATACATGTCCGATTAGGAAGGGAACCTCCCGACGCTATGACATTGAGCCTCCTAGATTCGCTAGGCAGACCGAGCCTCCACTATGCAGACGAAGCTTACGCTATGCAGACCGTGCCTCCGCTATGCAGTAAGCGAGCCTCCACCGTACAGCATAGCTTTTTTATAATCTTGGTTTTTTTTGAGTGACAAACTCTTAACAATTTTTTTGACGTAGTGGCAAGATTTTTACTAAAGATTAGAATTGTTCATTGATTGTCATGATTAGAAACATATATGGACTTAAAAGTGGTTTCAAGATTTTTATTAAACCTTTAAACATTTCTTACGCAGAAAGGAAGATATTTGGAGAAAAATTTCTGGAGTAAAAATGTTAAGATTTAAATAATAAATACAAATTTTTTAGATTTAATTTGAACTTCAATAAAAGGTAATGCTTAAATCAAAGATTATAAAAGATTACATGAAATTCAATTAAAATTTTTATTCTAAATATTTTCCTTTTACGTGTTAAAAATGTTTTAAGTTTTAGGTACCACTTAATTAGTCATAATTAGGCACTATGTATGATAATTAATAAATACTTCACATCTTTGAAAAGCCTCTCCTGCCACTATGTCTAAAAATTTCAAAAAAATCTTTTATTTAAACTTAAAACACAAGCTTAAAAAACCTCCTGTATTACACAGGTACATTTTGATGTGTTGTGCATGCTTTTTCTGCAAAGCGGAGGCTTGGTCTGCAGACTTCTTTTAAATCTGGCGTTATGTAGTGTAATGTACAAATCTGTGACGGTTTTTGCTTGATTTAAGTTTTTTATTGATGTTCATGTGTTAAAACATAAATGGACTCGTAAAGTGGGTTAAAGATTTATGCTTAAACTAGGCCTTTAGGGCACTTCGCGCCCATCTTCTATTTAAATTGTGAACATGTTATTTTTGTTTACATTTTATAACAAAGAATAAAATTCGCGGATTTTCAAGAATTTAATTTTTTTTTCAAAATTAAAAACCTTTAAAACACGTTTTTTTTTTAATTTTATCATTCATAAACCTTCCCTGTGGTCACATAAAAAATGTGGGCCCGATCGGTTCAGCCGTTCTGACGTTTATTGGATACAAACAGATAGACAAGCCAAATTTATATTTAAATTCAAGCATTTCTCGTGCAGAAAGGAAGATATTATTTATTTCTGGAACAAACTTACGTTTGTTTTGTTGTATTCTTTGACTTGAACAAACCTTTCAAGAAATGTTCAAGTTGAAAACAAATTATAATATTTTTGTTAAATTTGAACCAAAAACGAAGGTGGTATCTCTAAATGTAAAGCTTTCTCATAAAAAATTCTTGTATAACTCGATTGAGAAATCGCTCGTGCAACGTCGAAAAATTTGAATAATCTCTTGCAATAACAAAAATCTCCTGTATTTCAGAAACATTTTGATGTATTACGCATGCAGCGTAAGCTTGGTCTGCCTAGCAAATCTGAGAGGCTCATGATCTTGAGGGTTCCCTCCCTCGTCAGACAGCAATTATTGTAGATTATTTGAGCATGTGAGAAATTTTAGAGGACCAAGGAAAACTCCCAAGATGTGAGTGTATTTAATGTCCTCAGAACTCGAGGCATTAAAAAAATGATAAGCTATCAACACGAAACTGATCTCTTAAAAATAAGGTTTGATGTTTAATATTATTAAAAATATTATCAAGAATAAAAAGATTTAATAAAAATCGCAAAAATGTTAATATCAAAGCGTAAATGTAAATCTTAATAAAAATATTTTTTTGCAATTTTCTCGGTATAATGCAAGTAAGGGCGTGCAAAGATGTCATAGCACTACGAAACAGATTCGAATAATGTCCTCCAAGCAAATCCTATTCCCGTGCCTGCAACGCTACGTTTCCGAGATTCTGTAATTCTTACTTCAATAACAAATATTTGACATTTAAATTCACCAAAAGCTTTCTTTTCCAAAAATCTCTGTCTTTTATTGTTTTCCATAGTTTCACTAATTAGTAATTCCTAAACCCTAACACAACCATAATGCAGCTTTATTTAAAGATTAACTACTTAAATGTTGCATATATTTCTTCATGTGCATAGAGCTAAATAACCTACAAGCCAAGCCAATTATTGCTCTTGCGTTTATTTCTCTTGGATGTACATATTAGATTTAGTTCTCAGTGTGAATTAACCAATATTTGGTCAAGGAAAAACATTAAATGATCAGATTTCCCGGCTTCTGATACGGGAAGCTCTGATTGGTTAAATTCTATACACTTTTCAGGATACAAGTACAAGATATTGATCTCGATATCCACCATTCTAAAGTTCTCAGCTCAGGCCAAACATACCACCTCCTTTAGGTCAGATAAGCAGTATTTTTAGGTTATTTCATAAGCCAGATGTTAATGGGTAATATGTTACCTTGGTCCGACCTGATTAAAATATAATCTACATCTGACGAGGATGGGGTTGCTTGCCTGCTTGGCCGCCATGAGCCCCGCCAAATGATCTCAAAAGCCTTCTGATACACAGTATGACTCTAAGCCCAGTGAAACCGTCTTTGCGCCTTTATATGGTGTTATTTCAAGAAGGATCTTTTATTACCAATGCCCCTGCATATCATACAACTCTAAGTTTTATGACTCAATCGGTTTTTGATATTTCATAATTTTCAGAATATCTAGGAGACAAAAAGTGCATTGTTTAAACAAATTAAACATTTTAAGGTTTGATTTTTTATATCAAAACTGAAAGTTTTAATGATTACATTTATTGCATGTTTATAGCAGTTTAGTTTTCTTGAAGAAACATTCCAACTTTGGCAGACCATGATTCATCATGCAGGTGATGACATCCGGAGTATTGATGGTAACCTTCCTTTACACCCACAAAGTTGAATGAGAAGGGAAGATGACCTTCAATGCTGATCCTTGCATATCCGTTCCAATCTGATATTTCTTTGTACAGTTGACCACCAACATAAACATAGACAGTAACATTTCCAAGAATTTGGTTATTAGCAGCTTTCCCGGTTATGATTTCCAGTTGGACAGTTGTTGCAACTGGGTTTGTTGTTGTTTCAAGTCCTGGTGTTGTCGTTACATCAGAAGATGTTGTTGTGGACACAGGTTTGGGTGTTGTTGTGGACACAGGTTTGGGTGTTGTTGTGGACACAGGTTTGGGTGTTGTTGTGGACACAGGTTTGGGTGTTGTTGTCCCATTAAAGGGACAATCTAGAATTGGTGGATCTGCTGGCCCACTGATTGCCGAACATTTGAAGGAAGAAGAATCTAAGAACTGACAACTGTTATCATCATCAACATCGTGGATAAACAGATGGGCACCAAAAGTCTGTCCAATCTCTGATAGTAAAGCTTGACAATCTGTGGAACTAACAACATTCTCTGATGAGAATATGACATTGCCTTCATAATCACAATCTTCATTGATAAATACGTCGCAGGGAGCAAGAGCTCCGGTGCTGCATGATGGCAAAGATGGAGAACTGGGACCTGATTAATGAGTAGGGCTTGACAGTTAATGAATTTTTAATCGAATAAGGAAGCCAATATTTTTAATTGATAAAATTTTACTCTTTCTTGGTTTTATGTAGCTTGAGAATTTCAAAAATAGAACAATAATTGAATGTTATGAAAAACTTGCAACTACAACCAAATTAATTAATAAAAATAAAAATATCTTTTAATTTAGTGATAATTTTGCCAGCCCTAAACCTGAGACAAGTGAACAGGAAGCAATATATCCAGTTAACTGATCTTCTTGCATTAGAACACATTCATTGCTAGTGCTGTGGAATGAGAAGAAGTTGCAGCCAGCAGTGAATTTGCAAAGATTTTGACATACATCAGCACAAACCTCAACATGGAAGATGTTAAGTACTTTTCCAAGGCCCAGTTCCCAAATGAAATCATGAAGATAGTTGATTACCAATCCTAAACTAAAATATAAAGCTACAGTAAAGCTTTTGTTTACTTCTAATATGATATAGCAAGCTGGTCGTAGTTTGTAATTTTTAGGATCAGTAATTAATTCCATTAAGACCTTACAAAAACCTTTTCTTAGGCTATTAAGAATGATAAACCACTAAAACAATTGTAAATAAGGGAACCTTTCTTTTCTTAACTAAATTACTGAAATATCTACCTACAGAATGCTACAAAGAGCTAAAAGTGAAATGCTGATAAAACTTTAGATGATAATTCCATTTGGAATAATCGTTTCAGATGAATGAAATTGAAAACTACAAGTCTAGTGTCTAATTCTGGCGTGTGGAAAGCTTCTTTCGGATTCATTTGAGACATATTAAACTTTTTAAAGATCTGTAAATCCTGAGTTTGAGCGCAAATTCGAGGTTCAGAACTCCTACTTTGGGGTTGGATTCATTTTCAGAATTATTTTTTTTTAAATTATTAAATAACGACGACATAAAATGTAAAAAAGTTCTACAATAAACTACAGACGTCATGTATAGGAACATGTTGAGAAAATAAAAATTAATCTTATCATCGAAAATAAGTAATCTTGTTCAATTATTAGTCTCTAGTATCTCATTATTCTGGTTTCTCATTATTCACAAAGATTTTCGCAGATTTTCTAGAATTATTATTGAAAAGACGACATTTAAGGAATTTGAAGAAATCTGCGAATAAATTCAAAGAAAATTAGAAATTTAATATAATAATGAAAACAAAATAGTCGATTTTAGCATTGATTTATTGACAAATTTCTTTTGAGAAATATGTTCCTAACCATCTAATTTAAAACTACTGTATAATTTTTACTTTATTTTTCGTTGTCGTTATTTAATAATTTAAAAAAAATAATTCTGAAAACATATCCACCCCCAAAGTTGGAGTTTTGAACGTCGAATTTGCGCTCAAACTCAGGATTTACAGATATTTAAAAAGTTTTATATTTCTCAAATGAATCCGAAAAAAGCTTTCCACATCACTGCATACTCAGTTCAACTACCTTACATAGCCGGTCACTCCCTTTAATCCTAAAATCTAGAATTACTGAAATTTTAATAGATTTATAACTCTCCATTATGGAAATGACGTTGCATATTTTAAATAAGGTTTAAACATTACGTCTGTATAAAATTTATTATCTTCTGAGGCCGAAATTAAAGAATTTGAGCCTCGGTTTAAATATAAACCGCGGTACAAATAAGGTTAATCCACCTAAAATTGTATTACATTTTTCAAGATTCAAGCCGGCGATGAATTGAAACCGGTTTTTTGGGAGATTTAAATTCACCCAGGCTTCTTTGATTAAGTACTTAACACCTCCAAATCTAGACCAGTACAGGGTAAGGTCTGAGTTCCTATAATCAAATCTGTGTTTGGGTCACATTTTCCAAAGGTGAACAACCCACATCCCTCATCTGCCTGGAGAACACCCAGAATGTTAAACAGAATAGCAATTGCCAAAAGTATCATTACTAGATATCAATCTGCTTAGAACTGGAAACTGAACTGAACTCAAGCTTATTTCAGTTTTATGCAGAATATTTGTTTGCTTTCAGATAATTCTTTGTTTACTTATATCTATATGCTTTTTAAAATGTAAACTATACAATAAATCAATAATACAGGATGCTGCATATAGTGCTTAATTAGTTTATTGTGGGAATTATTTCTGACTAAAAGATGAAGACTTTTAGCTTTGAGGGGGTTCAGCTTAAATCTGATACAATTTATCCCTGAAAAAAATTCAGCAATCGATCAAAATGTTTCTGCCTAAAGATCAACTAACAAATATAATTCATTTCTGCTGTTAAGTTTAGTTTATACTGTACTTAACGGATGATATCTGTTTGAAAAATTAAATTCACCTTAAGTTAACTTACAGTCCACTTGAAATGTTGCTTTGCCCCAAAAATTTCAGAGACCACTTAAAATGATTCTGTCTACAAAAAAAGTTAAGTTTCCGAAAAAAGTTTATTTATTTCTGCTTGGAAATGACAGAATCTTATCAAAGTTTTTTTTATTTTGCAATTTTTTTCTTTTGTCACCCTTTATATATTTGTTTAGAGAATGTAAAACAGACAATTGCTAAAAAAATTCATTGTTTGTTAAATTAGGAAAAAGTTATTAAGTAGGATTGTTTGAAGGACGAAGTACTTGCAAATGTCTCTCTTTAAAGGGAGTGACTGCAGCTATGTATATATACAATTGAACTGCGAGTGCAGTATTTCAAGCATAGATGATTTGGTCTAACATAATTCATAGTTATTGAAGGTTTACGAGATTTGGTTGCAAAAGGAGAAAGGTTAGAGTATAGAATGCTGATGGACAGTTTGTACAGAGCCCGAAACTTAAGACAGGGTATCGGAATGAAACCCAGTATCGGAAACCCGGTTTCATCAATGTGGTCAGGCAGTATTGTAGATACAAAATATTTTTGTTTAGAAATATTAATTCCTGTGGTTTCTACACAAAAGCATAGACCCCAAAAAGGAAACTCGGGAGTTTCGTTCTATAACAATACTCTTGTCAGCCCCCTTATCATTGGACATAAAGGTTAACATGTATACATTTAAAGATAAGGGCGATTTTTGTAGACGTCATTCTAATGATGAATAAAAATGCAGTAACTGCAATTAATGAACCTTTGTCAAAACGATATTTTAACTCCTTGTGAAAGTTCAAATTTTTAAAAAATATTTAGAATATTTAGCAATATGAAAAACATGACGCAAAAAAATCAAAATAGCTCTTTTGATACAAAAACGGGTTCGAGAATACTGAGAATTATAGGCGCAACAAAGTTGGCGGTTTCTCCTTCCATTTCATCTTACAAGAGAGAGGGGCCACACGCGAGCGCGGTCCCCCCTCCCCCCCAGTTCGACCCTAACGTGTATGCTAAAAATGTTATTGATGTATTTTAAATTTATCAACCTTATATTGTTTTTTTTTGACTTATGCCAAAATAACCATTTCGCCAATCAACTGCCCAGGGTCTCATGAAGTCAATTAGTAATTATTTGTTAAATCTCTTAGCATAAGTTGGAAGAATTTGAGTTATAATTTTTGGACTTAAAAGGTATGGTTCATAGCAAGATATGTCACTTTCTCTATAAAGTTGAACACTTTTGAATTTACGACTGCCAAAAATTCACCAAAGATATAAAAGAGCAATTGTTTTTTAATTTTAAATCAGAGATCTGAAGGGAAGGTTTTAACTCATTTTGTTGATTCAAAAGTTCTCAGCCGTTGTCTCACAACAAATAAAGAAGTCACTCTTTTTGATTAATGTTTGTTCTAATGAATAAAGTTTACATGGTTTTATAAAGAAATGTATTAAAAAATCTTTTAAACAAAATAATGTTAACCATGAACAGACTTATTTGTTGGGAAAAAGCACAAGTTTGTTTAACTTTTTTCTAAGCGAGGAATATTTATATAGTTCTCATGAGCAGCCTTCTTAAAGATATCAGGGTGTTCTGTCATACAGGTAGACACAGTTTTGAGACAGATTCGGTTTAATATCTGTCTGTCGCAAAATAATTTATCTTTGCATCTTGGATCTTGGATTCTGCTATCTCTGCAACTTTGAAGATCATAAGATGCAAAGGTAAGTCCACCCCTATCTTTCATGAAGGTTAAACATAACCTATCCCTAACTGCAGCAGAGCTAGTGATGACATCAGTGCATGTTTTAAACTTAAGTTTCAGTGATTAAGTTTGCGGAAATGTATTTCACACAACTGGTGTAGAATTAGTTTAGAACTGGATCCAAAGATTCGAACTCATCCATCAACTAAACATCTTTATCCAGGTCATACTGAGTGTGCATATAATCCATGCTGTTCTTCACCATGGTGAATATATCCAGACATTCAGTATTGTCCTGAGCTAGGATATTTGCTGCTAAACTGAAATTCTTCCTGCACTTCCACCTAGAACTAGCCGCTTGTAGGCAGCTGTAAACTGAATAACTGTACGTAGGATTAGTGTTGCATTCTAATCTGGCTCTTACATGAGCAAAGAATCCTTCAAGATGATTCTGCAAAAAAACTAAATTTTTTTGAAAATCTAAACATTTTTAAGAAATAGTAAAAATTCAGGGCGCTTTATTTTTTACATCTGGGTATTGTTTTTTTGCATTATTCAATGAAATGTTTCATTTTTTTGGAGATATCAATAATTTTCCGAATTTGCAAAAATAATTTCTTAACCCGCATTAAAATTGAGGGGGGAGGGGGAGTTTCCACCCCTTCCCTCCCTCCTTGTGGTTTTTTTGTTTTAACTTAAAAATCCCCTCCCCCTCTTTATTTCAAATAAATAGCCCAATCAGAATAGGGTTAAGTAAGATAGGAATTCATATATGTTAAGTTACATGAGAAAGCTTAAAAGTAAGCATGTAATCCAAGGAACCATTTCTAACATAATTATTGAACACTCTTAATTATGTTTATCGGTTGCAAGATGCAGACCAAGGATGTATGATTATCCACACTCGAAAACATCCTTCCAGTATCCAGTGTTAAGGTTAGTTAATGGAGCCTTGGCCATTTTCCAAACTTAGAGGAACTGTTGAAAAGATCAAACAATTCATCAAACTTTCTTAAAAATTTGGATTTCGAAGCACTATCTTTGAACTCTGGTAGTTTAAGATTTTCTCTGCAATGGTCTACCACATTGGCCACACTGGGCAGCAAATGACACCTTCATTAGTTGGTTATGAAAGTAAACATAGTCTCACCTCAGCCTATATTTCCGGCATGAAATTTGTAGTTTGTTTGAAATTGATAGAGTAATATGATATTTTTCCAGGAAATTACACCTCCATCAGCATCAACAAATTCACCATACACTTCCCAGGCATTTCTACAATTTTTAAGCATATGGCAGTTATCCAACAGGACATGAATAGGTTTATCTGCTCCCTGAATCTGAATCTAAGAGTTGATTAGAGTCTGGGTTCAAATCTGCACCTTGTTTCTTTAGCATGGATAGGTTTACTCTATGGACCATCACAGGTCATAGATGTTACTTTGGAACGTATAGGAGGCCCCAACCCCCGAAATATTGTTATCTAGATTGCAGACCATTTTCACCAATTTATGCCAATTAAGAATACAATATTAAGTTTTCTTTGAAATCTGGAATATGTCAAACGTTTTATTACCTTCTCTTTAACACTTTTATATCAGGGAATGCATAATTATGTTCTGCCAGGATCTGTGTCGAGGTAACTGAGGTTGGTTTTGGCAAAAACACTGTGGGTTTAGCGGATTTCTTTCATTTCTTCTTTGATTTGCTGTAAGAATGTTGGGTTAAATGATGGGAGTAGAGAAAAGTTGGAATATTTTTCCAACAGCTCAAAAATTTCCATTTTTCTCGAACAGTATGAATTCTCATATCAACATGAGAACCATTTGTTGTACAATTTACCACAGATGCTGATGTTCAAAATTTACTGTCTACTGTTTATACATATCCTGGATCTGTCTACACAGGATTTATACGGATGCCGCAACCCGTATTTTTCCTATGTACTGTATGTCACTATACATGATCTACACCTGTAACACCCTTTCCAGAGATTAGAGAGAGTTACAGAGATTGATTTTCAGCTAAAATATGCGATATTTTCCACAGCATGTTCTATTGTGTACAAGTACTTTACACGACCAATCAGCAAATATCTGTATTCAGGCAGGGATATATAAGGATCAGCTTTGGATACGAAACAAAAAATCTTCAAAAAAAGACTGAATTCATAAATGTTATGTTTGTAAAACTTAACCCCTGAATGGATATTATGTTCAACAAGTGGACGTGAGATGGCACTCTAAAAACATATCGTAAAAACGTAACATGTCGTGCCGGGCCAACTTAGGCCTACGTAGCCCACCCTGTGAAACTAGATAAGCAGTCCGTGTAGTCTGTGACCCATTCCCTTTGGTTCCTTATTGCAAAGACGACAGATTACACCCATTGGTTGCAAACAAAATTTGGCTATTAGCAAGTATTACTTCTAGTTGAAGATGAAAAAAAGATTTATTGAAAAAAAATGAAGCTAGACAAATAACAAATCTATCGTAAGCAAAATAATCTCAAAAATTCGAATTTTCAAAACTTTTAAGTTCAACAAATATAATATTTGACATTGTAAATAAAACCACTTAAACCCAATTGTAGAAATCTTGTGGTATCTCAGTTTCAGTCCTGTAAAGTAAAACTTCATCAAAAGTTATTAAGTCCACAAAATTCTTCTTCTTTGGAGACTCAATTGAAAATATGTCCAGAGCAAAGAGAATAGTATATATATTAGAGGGGAATTTAGAGAATCTCTCGGTATGAATTTTTTCAGTCCCTTTGAGCCTGAAAGGGAGTTCAAAGTGTACAAATCATGTAAATGTTCACAAATTATATGCAGTAGAGTACATTAATACAGTATGTTGCCTATACTATCCATTTCAATTTCGAATATTTTAAAGCTGTTAAATAAACTTTATAATTAATTAGGTGAATAGAAAACATCATTTGATTTATAGTTATAACGGAAAATCATCGTTTGTAAAGTGAA